CTCGGCTACCGTGACCGGCCTTTATTTATATTACTGTTAATTATTTTGTCAAATGTCCGGGGCTCCGTGGGGAATAATAACGACTTCTGCATTTGATGAATGGATTTATTGACACACATTTAGACAGTTCGGGACTATAGGTTGTTAATAGCGCTATCGCTATTCTAGACACTTTCCAGCTCATCGTTGCACACGAACTAGGATTCTCAGTCTTCACTTCTCGTAAACTGGCAACGGATTTATCACAGGAATTGTCACTTCAAATCACTATGAAGTCTTCTTTCAATTTCTTGTTCAATCACCTTTGAATGCCGAGCCTCCAGAACTCGACCCAATTCAACAATACTAATTTTCTAATCTACTCCTAGCTACAGGCTCTCGCTATATAGACTCGGCACGGACCTATAGTAAACGTGTGTCACTTGTCAGAATGCTTGGCGCGGACCACGCTTAACTAATTAAGCACTACGCTATGAAAACGTATGGGGGAGTGAATGTATAGATCCATATTTTCTTGACCTCGGCACTAGTTGGAAGTGATTTGTCAACTTCACACCTCGGCTGCTTTACCCCCAAGGAAAGAGCTCCCGGTACCCATTGCATAGGAGGCTGGGTGGGCCCCAGAGCCAGTCTGGACGACGTCGAGAAGAGAAAATTCTTAACCCTACCGGGACTCGAACTCCGAACACTCGGTCGTCCAGCCCGTAGCCAGTTGCTATACCGACTGCGCTATCCCAGCTCATAATAATAATAATAATAATAATAATAATAATAATACATAAGCGTGGAATGAAAGGTCTTCATTAATTAAACGTGCTATTACTTAGGAGTAGCGTGACTGCTTTAAATAAGGTCGTGATTGGTGAATCGCCGAAAATCTTTTGTTTGCATCAATTTTGTGGGGTTCCCTGCTCTTCGAAATTTTTCCCTCAGGGCTTCACGTAAATTCGTTATGAACTCACTGTTGCATTTTTTAACATCTCAGTAACGGCTTAATTAATAGGTGCAAATTTCATTTGCGTGCAGGGGAAGTGGGTGAATTCTGCACACTTAAGGGAAAGTTGGTTTTCAAGGTAATATACTCGTATAACAGTTACAGTGCTCTAATTCAAGTCATTACTATCCCTTTATTTCTGTACCATAAATAGCTACTGATTTTGTTATGTCTTGAAAACTTGTACAACAAAAAGCCAAATTATGAAAATATTCTTTTGTGCGGGATTCCCAGATTTTTCGGGTCTCTTTCCCTCATTAAAGTAAATTCCACTTATTTAACCAACTGTATGTTAAGTAAAAATTTATTCACTAAACACAAATTAATACATAAGGAACATCAGTACCGAAGTGTGCCTAAAAAAAAGGAATATATCACGTATTTAGGGGCGTGTGACTATAGGCGGGGTTGGGATCGGTGAATTGGATTTATTGGCCACTTGCATATATCACTCGGAACTACACAGTTTACTGACAGACACACACACACACAGACCAGTGTCCTCAGTCTATTACAGTCTTCACTAGCCGTTTCCTGGCAACAAATTTAACACAGTAGAGATTCTTCAGCTTCCGTGGTCACGCCGTTGCCCGCAGGTTAACACTCCACACCTGAACTCACAGCGTCACCTTTACAGCCTCCCTTCCAGAGCACAGCTCTCGACTAACTGCTCACTTGGAGCACTTGGAACTTGACTTCCGATTCTGAATTAAACTCTTCTTTATAAACACTTCGCACGGACTGAATAGAAAATACCATTTCTAACAGCATCTCTATTGACGCAGCCGTGTTTACGGATCCGTTGCTTGGAAACTGGTTGCATAATCTCATTGTTCTGTTGTTGCCTGCGTATATGTCGCGTGCGTTACCTAGCAACGGCTACTGTTTACAGAGTCATTGCATTGCAATGGATCTATACGCCACAATATAGTCATCTGAAAGAAGAGAACATTTAGAATAAACAACTGACTTGACACACCTTTCACTGGATATTCCAAATGCATGTTACGACTCACCGTTACTTCTCTGTTTCTTTGTACAAGAATCACAAGTATAAACCTTAGGAGAATCGAAACATTGCACTCCGAGATTGCAAATGAGTGCAGTATACATCAGTAGCACACCTCTCCATTTAATTTATAGTTTACATGAAAGGGCGAAATATTTTCTCAACGAAAGAAAATAATTTTGAGGGACATATATATGTGCAACGTATCCGGTTTCTGACGCCGTATTAAAATAATCTACATTTTATTTTAGTTTAAAGCAATTTGGGCACTGAAGTTTTTTTATTTAATAACAAAATTATGTCATAAGAAAAAAGAAATTTTTCGCCCAGTTCATGATATTATTTTCGAATTTTAATTTTTAAATGTCTGAAGTTTTACAGTCCACCGTTACTGGGAATGAAATTGGTTGCTATGTGTGAAATAAGAATGAAAACCTGAGCATTAAACCAACTTTGTCCAGTGGTAGAGAACTGTCTTTCAATTCAACACGTCATTTGCCTAAGACCTTCTAGGGCTTCCTATAATTTCACCATGCCTTGCATGTCTTACTGAAGTTCTGCATTCGATGAGGCTTTGTTAGTGAAAGAATGAATCAGCGTGTATGTCTGAAGACACTTAGAGGCACATAACAGCTTATACGCTTAATATACCTCTTGAAATGTACAATGTCGGAAACAAACATCAGGCTGCAATACTTATTCCTTGTAATATTGTCTCGACCTAGCTTAAACTGAAAGAAGTAACATTTATACGCAGCCTCTGGGTGTTTTATGGGTTGTCTACATAAATCTGCATAGTTGTGCGTAGTGCATATTAGCACACTCCCGTCCTCACCCATTTCTCTTGATTCACATTCCTCGCACACCTTGCAAATCAGAAGAGAATTAGGAAAATGAGGCTAGAACAGCAAACATCCCTATGAAAGCTACACTAAATCCAGATTAACCTATTTCAAAGCAAATGCATACGTGGATCTAAGCACCGAGTAATTCTAACCTCACTCTCTTCACCTGCATTCGGCACGTCACGGCACGGACACTGGGGCAACATGTACTGACTGGCGCCTTAGAGCGAAAGAGAACTAGGTTATCGACGTTTCGGAACAGCGACTGGTTACTAGTTGTTTAATTTTAGTCTACTTAATAAACTTCTTCAACTTCAGCAACTTAGTTTATGTAGTGTTGAATTTTAGGATGGCTGCATGAATGATAATCATGGAAAGACATTGAAGGACGTAGTCATATCGTGTTTAAAGATACTGACATAGCGATTGAAGAGACTGAGAAAAGTCAGGAAGACTTCACGTAAGAGTGGTCCGAAGTTCGAGACTCGGACGTCCACAATATAAAACAGTAATGTTCAACCCTACACAACCACCGTCGGCTCAAATCACCAAATGTTAATTTCTTTTCCTTACGATTATCATCGACGTTGCTGCTACAACTTACCACAGGCTTTTGTGACATACTCGTACGGGGTTCATGAAGTAACATTTTCTGACAATTTAAGATAATTGTTCTAGAGTACCTTGATATATATACACACGAAGAAAGACAAAATGTGTGTCTATTAATTGGAGCAATTAAAATAGTACTTTTAATGTAAGTAACTTTTTGAGGATGATTAATTGAAGTTAGATATAGCGCAGTGTACCACGCAGAAAGAGATGGGAAATTCATACAACAGTTTAAGTCGAAAAATTCTAAGAGAAACACAGCATGGACATACAAAGACGTGGGGTGGAAATTAATATTAAATTGGATCTGAGAGAAATATGGATTGAACAGACGAAATGTGTTGAATTCTCGAAGGATAGGTTCAATGGTTTTCTGTGAATAGGACAATAAACTTTCGGGTTCCATAAAACGGAGAATTCCATAACCATTTGAATAAATGCGCGTTTCTAAATTTCCACGAAGAACTTCGAGTAATAAATTTTATAAAAAATTTCTCCGTAAAATATTAAAGGAATTTATCGTAATAGAGAATGTTAAGGTCTCAAGTAACCGAACTCTGCTGCTGCTGGAAGGTTAAGGCGGCCCATACACGTACGAGTCTTGCTCGCGAGTCCGACTCGGCGAGGAGCCGGACTCGGATTAATTTCACCACACACGTATGAGCGTGGCGACCCACACACGGACGAGTTCGGCTCATTGGAACCCGAGCTGAGTCGGACTCGCGAGCCTGACTCTTACGTGTATGGGCCCCCTAAATTTTTAGTGTGACGGCTCGGGAACGTGGAACTGGCTGCAGTAGTCATGGTGTATTCATTACGTAAGGAGGACTCAGTCTGACAGGATTCCATAATCACTTCATAGCATTCCATTTGTGACGTCAGTTTCAATTTCCGGAATAAGCAGCTAACCGGTGGTGGCAGCAGCAGTAGGTCCTGAATCCAGCGATAACTTTATGCTCGGTTGCTTCGCATAATGTTTAACTACATTCTATTAACTGAGAGAGTTATTTAGCGTCGAATGAGACATTATATATATACTTTGCCTTTGAAATAATACAGTCCTTTTGGGAACTATTCATTCAAACAAGGGTAGAGGCGTAATTTCTTAAACGCTGTAGTGAAACGCGTGGTTCAATAGAAGTGGAGAATTTCTTAACCAGCTGGTTAATTTTTCAGGCATTCAAATAAATATCTTGAGAGACAAGAGTAGGTGTGCTGCAAGTCCTTGATTTGGAATCATAATAACTTTGAATAGAATTCAGGGGTTAGGAATTTCGACTGAATTATAGTAAGTAATTCCTTTGTCCCTCCATCCGAAATACCACGGCAGTTACTTTATAACAATCTCCTAGACAGCTTTTAAATTACAAATTCTGGAGCCATTTTACTCCACTGCATACTTCGCTATGAGGACGTTTGTTGACCGTTAAGTTAGACCTACGTAGCTTTGAATGGGAACGTGTGAATACAATATTATGAAAGATATGAAACGAGACAGTTGTAACATATTTTAATGTGTTATCCGAACATTTTTCTACAGGGACTGAAAAATATTACGGAAAATCTCTAAAGACAGCAGGCGCCAAGACCCACAACTGAATCCAGAACTTCAGAAAACGAGGTAAGCCTGCTTCGTCATTTTATAAATTATGCCTGATGAGAACAGTGAAGATGTTATGAATTTTGATCCAGGATCAATAAATAAATAAATAAATAAATAAATAAAATAAATAAAATGAATGCAACTTCGATGCATCATCGTAATATTTTCCAAATACTGAGGAAGGTTCTCTCTGAGCATTCCTCATCATGGTTGAGGTTCGTACCCAGTACGCTACACAGAATTAAAGTACGGGTTGGAGCAGCGGTAAGGATCTTGACTCGTATTCCGGAGGAGCTCTGTTCAAATCTTGGTTCTGACAGAGGTTCTTGGTGAGTTTCCTCAGTTACTCCACGGATTCCGCCATATAACTGCAATTAGGCCACAGCTGTTTCTTTTGAAATTGTCATGCCTCTACACACTCTGTCCATTCAAACCTAAACAATGAAGCTGCTGGAATGACCATTATATAACGTATAAATAAATAAATACGTGTAAATACAGTTAGAATGTAAGCAGGATTCGTGTCCACTATTGCAAATTTCTCGATTTATCAATAACTATTTAGTAATAATTTATCAATAAATAAATATATATTTCTACAATATATATTGTAATAATTATTTGCAAGAGAAATAATTAATATTACAGGAGGAAAAATAGCACTTATATACCAGATGAATTAAACTTCAAAACTGGACCCAGCCATCCTGTGTCTTGGCGGTGTTGTCAGGACTATAAAACAAAACGCAAAAATGGGAAAGATTTCCTTCGTTTGAGGCAATAAACTAAAGAGGATATACTCATTTAGATTTTGTACTTATGAAGCAAGCGCATTGCTCCGTTATGCGTGTGGGATGGCAGGACGCTACCTGAATGTGTACTCGAATTGAAGCAACTCACATGAAAGGAAACGGTAAGATCGCATTTTCTGTACTTATTGTACAGAGTTAGAGAAAGGCAAATGAGTTGAACTGAATTTTCATTTGTGTTTTGAAAATGTGGCACAGTTCAGATATTTTGGAACAACGATAACAGATCGAAACCTGATTCAAGAGGAAAATTAAGAGGAGATTGAACTCGGGTAATGCTTCCTACCATTCAGTCCAGAGCCTTTTCTCTTCTCGTCTGCTGTCCAAAAACATAAAAATTAGAATATGCAAAACTATAATTTTGCCTGTGGTTCTGTGTGAGTGTGAAACTTGGTCTCTGACATTAAGGGAGGAGCACAGACTGAGGGTGTTTTGGAACAGGCTGTTGAGGAGAATATTTGGACCGAAGAGAGATGAAGTGACAGGAGGTTGGAGAAAACTGCACACTGAGGAGCTTCATAACTTGTACTCTTCTCCAAGTATAATTAGAATGATCAAGTCAACAAGGATCGGTTGGACAGGGCATGTAGCACGGATGGGGGAGACGAGGAATGCGTATAGGATATTGGCGGGAAAGCCAGAAGGAAGGAGATCACTGGGAAGACAAAGGCGTAGGTGGGTGGATAATATTAAAATTTATCCTAGAGAGAGAGAGAGAAAATGGGATGGTATGGATTGGATTGATCTGGCTCAGGATAGGGACCAGTGGAGGGCTCTTGTGAAAACGGTAATGAACTTTCGGGTTCCATAAAATGCTGGGAAATTATTGAGTAGCTGCAGAATTGGCAGCTCCTCCAGAAGGGCTCAGCTCCATGAGTAAGTATGTAAGTAACATATATGTTGTAATAGTGTCAGTAGAATTCTCTTGACAATAAACTGAAATTAGCACTATTATCTACAAACGCATCTACGAAAAATAAACTATCTTGCAGTTTATTCACAAATACTGCTGTCAGAAGTCCCTACTTGTATAAATTTTACTGTTGAATAGTATAATTCTCCTTGCGCTGTGATAGGCACGGCTGGAAACTAATCATTGCCCCTACTGTTGCTCTCGCTGTGTTTGTTTCTGCCCGTATCAATCTTTGCTTGTTCCTAGCAGTAAGCCCATCGTTTATCTTTTTTGCCGAAGCGTGTGCTACTTCCTTGCATGCTGTGACAAAAGGGAAGCAAAGGACAAAGCATAATACTTTTTTGAATAAAATATTTCACGTTTTGTTTTGATATTAGATTCACTTTCCTGCTCAATGCATGAGAGAAGTTTCTTCAATATGTGTCACTGTTGACGACAGTGCGATTCATGTTATGATGTGTATGAAACTGAAGAAACAGGAAGAATTGAAGAGACTACAATCAGTAGTATTGATGGAGGAAAGATTTTGTTCAACCACCAAGGATTAACACATGAAACTGAGAGAAATCTGATTAGCAGATGACAGAATTACGATGGAAAAAATTAATGCTACTTGTACATTTAATAGACCTCGTTTGCTGACCTCTCTGGGCTGAAGCCAAACTTAGAACAGCCGAAGAACTTTTCATAATTAAAATTTCCTTCCTGTTTTAACAAAAAAATATTCACTGTTATTCGAATTGAGGGGATATGCAGAACAACGTATAAATAAATAAATAAATAAATAAACAAACAAGTGGACCCTTGCAAACTAAACAGAGTTTGTTCTCAATGAAGATACGTGAGTGTGCAAGAAATAAGAACACTTCGCGCAATTGCGGGTGCATAGTCTGTCTTCTGCGCTAACCACAAGTTCGGTACTACTTGTTGGAGAACGGAACACAAAATTACTCGAACTCAACTTGCATGTCGAAAGATCCATTTATGGTCCGTCATATAAATATTATATCTGAGCTGCAGTAAAACCCAACATCAGGTATTTTTCCAAAGGAAAACATCAAGTTTCCAAAGCAGTTTGCTGAAAATTTGCTCATAAATTTACATTTAAGTCCTATAAGATTTTTCTTGCTGGTTGCCCTACAGTATTCAGGCAAGGAGAATACTTTTTATAAGAAAGGTAAAGCTATGCCTGTATTCATTATTCATTCATTATTGGAAGGGGTGGTTTTCCCCATACACCGCGATCAGTATTTGATCTATTGTACGTCCCCCTTTGAAATTTTACCAGTCGCTATACCCTTCCGGTACTGGTGCTTGCTATCAGCCCCGTTCAGCCAGCGAGTTCGGCCCCTCTACTGGCAGTGGTACCCGATACTTCCCCATCTACCGGAGGCATTGGAAACTACTTGAGCGGGAAACATTTTACCTAATTTTGCTCAGAGGTCTCCTAGAGCATGAGTATCTTCTACGTGCCGTAAATCTACGACACGAGACCCGCAGCTTAAAGTCCCTCCCAGAGGACTTGTTCCCTGAATTTTTCCGCCCTTAAAAATTGCACGACCTCCGCCGGGTTTGAACCTACGTACCTTGAGTCATGAGGTGGGAACGTTACCCAGCTATGCCTGTAACAAGCCGTGCAGGTTCATTAGGTTGTGGGACATCGAGGGCTCCACGTTTACTAGAAAATTGGTTCACAGATGACGGTGAGGTTGTGAGTCTTAAACGCCGACAGCCCTATACCCTCAGAAAGATTCCTGGTACTCATTTCTGTTAGAGGCAGACACCATGGTACGGCTGGAAGAATAAAATAATTTTCATTTTCGGTAATAATATTTTGCATGTTTTCTTTTTCCCATTTTAGTCTCTTCAAAGAACCCAGATAGGGACAGGTGCGTGTCTTGTCTTCCCTGAGTAGCCTGATATTAAAATTTTACATTGTATACATTCAAGAGGAACTTCTCAGAATCTACGAGGCTATGTGTTCATTTCAAAGATGCGTATGTTCTTGGGCATACACGAATGAAAACCCAGTACCTATGGAACGAAGAAATCTGAATTATGAGAAGTTAAATTCAAATGCGTGGCTGAATTGGAAGAACATTCTGGTTCTCAAAGCAGTGATAAAAACATAACAGATAATTCAGTGCTGAGACAGGATCTGACAGACGATCAGAAAACATGTACACAGGGTATGAAGACAAGTAATTCACGAGTTGTACTTCTTCCTTTTGTGATTACTGAAAACAAAAGCAGTTGGAAACGTAACGAAGAACCGAAGAGATTTTCCGAAACATGAGTTTACAGGAAAGGGAAAGTGTACACCTATGCATGCAAAGAGGCCACCTCCTCGCCATCAAATTGCGAGATCTCCATGATGTGTAAATAAAAACAAGTCTACAGCATGTGATGATTGCATGGTTTATGCACTTGCTTCAAAAGGCCCCATGTGGAGATAAAATCGTTTTCAGTAACATTTATAAACACATAACGAACTAATGTCAAAAATCGGATTTGTTGCAGCTACATTAAACTTATGGCCCCATGTGGAGATAAAATCGTTTTCAGTAACATTTAGAAACACATAATGAACTAATGTCAAAAATCGGATTTGTTGCAGCCACATTAAACTTTTCAAAGGAAATCAGTAAATGTCGGTAAAAAAATTATCTCTTTGATGTTCCCCTGGTAACTCGTTATCAGCAGCCGCCAGTGAACTGATTCCCAGGACTATATCCGTCTCAGTCTTGTGGCGTATATACTCGTTGATAAACAGTGACTCGATAAACACAGGTCTCTTGGTAACGCCAGCAACATACACGCACGGAAAAATAGGAGAACGGTGTTTTCTATGTGGTCCGGGCCGGAAATTTTCCTATGCAGCAGCGCGGCAAACACGCCTCTACAACAATAGTGGGGAAGTTTACTGCGTGGTCCGTGCAGAGAAGTTTTCTTAGAGATAATTGGCGCTATTGTGCAGTTGCGGGATATTCGCCGGATGTCAACGACAAGATTATCCACTGTTAGAAGCCGTTGCTACGGAACGGCTGTTGAAGACACAGCATGCTGGGAAAGGCTTAGCGTGTGGTGTAGTGATATTTAATTTGTGGAGAATAGCAATGGCTCTATAATTAAGTGCAGTCATGAGTCGTGTGTTAAAGTGATAAATAAATACAATCTCCCATTAAAACCTCGTTTATAGCCACTAATACAAGTGACAATACAAGCCTTTCATTGAGAAGCGAGGTTATTATCAACATCATCATCAGTAATCTGTCAGACGACAGGTCCACAGTCTG